TGCGGCTTTCCGTCAAGATGCGGGCCAGGCTGACGTGGCGGGGGTGGCTCAGCAGCCTGAGAGTGGTTCTCCTGCAGATTATCACCGCATTTTGCTGAAAGACGGGGGTGGTCTGTCGAGCACTCTGGATTGGCAAGTGCCTCCGCCTGGAGCTTTGCGGGACCCATTGTCTGCGGTGCGCAAAGCAATTTGGTCTTCCCTGCCGAAAGATGCTTGCTGCCGGGCGGCCGCGCTGTGTGGCAAGACCTTGGAGCATCCGTTCTTCACTGACTCAGAGGTGCATTTGATGCAAGTGGCCGTTTGTTCAGCCTTGGGTATCGATTCGGCTTGGGCATTGGAGTCCTTTGAACTCACTCCGTACAAGTTCAATCTGCTGGAAAGGTTGGCTCTGCGTATGGATGATCCAGATGTTGCTCTGTGCAAAGTGCTTCGGCGCGGGGCGCCTACGGGAGTACGGGAGGCAATCCCTGCATCTGGTGTTTGGCCACCTTGTTCTGGCAAATGGGGTGACGAGGGGGCTGAGGCTTGCGATTTGTTCTGGTGCACCTCCAATCACATTTCTGCAGAACAGGAGCCGGCTAAAGTTCGCGCTTTAGTCCAGAAAGAAGTGGACCTTGGTTATTTGGTACACATTGCAGGGGGGGATGTCGGCAGTACAACAGCGATTCCCGGATGGTTCCTTGGCAATTGGCAAGCTGGGGCTCGTGACGTGCCCTGGAAAAGAAGACCGGCTCATTGGCGACTCCCGTGCCAGTGGGGCGAGCCCGGCGGCCAGATTCCTTGAGCGGGCGGAGGTGCCTTCGCTTTTCTTGTTCACTGCTGCGCTGAACAGGTTCGCCGCTTGGCGAGGTGTGGCGGTGGACCCCAAAGAGTGGGTGTTGTTCAGCGTGGACATCAAGGGGGCTCACAAATCTATTCGTACGGCTGCTGAAGATGTGGGCTTTTCGGTATTCTCACTTGAAGGAGAATTCTACGCATACGTGGTCAACCACTTTGGGGCCGCGTGGTCGGCGTATTGGTGGTCGAGGCTTTCTGCTTTGCTGTTACGAACCATACACTTCCTGGTGCGCCACCGCCACCTGGGGGCGGTTTATGTGGATGATTTTCTATTCCTCCTGCCGCGGGGGGGGCGTTCGCGATGCTGGTGGTGCTGGTGCTGGCTATTTTGCAAATCTTGGCTGTGCCATTGTCCTGGCGTAAACTGGCATTGGGTTCCGAGTTGACCTATTTGGGGTGGCAGTTGTCCTTGCATTCTGGTTTCTGGGCGTCCTTGCCGGAAAGCAAGCAAGCGAAGGTGCTTAGGGAGCTGGCTTGGTGGAGGTTGCATCCGCGACGGGTGCCTCGGAAGAAGCTCTCTCAGCTCTTGGGGTTTCTGCTTTGGGCGACTCAAGTGCGGCTCGCATTGCGAGCTTTCCTTGCGCCTCTCTTTATCAAGCTGAACAAGCCAGGGTCACGCTTGCAGTGTCTGAGTTTGGGGCAATTAGAAGAGCTGGCCATGATCCTGGGGGACGGGCTGGTAGTCCAGTCTGCTGCTGCAAGAAGCGACATTCAAAAGGGGTGGCGTTTGCACGCTGTGGGTGGCAAGACAGTTGATTGTGTCATCAATGCGCGTCGTCTGCTGCAACAGCCCCGAACGATCACGGGCAAGATTTGGGTCCGGTTTTCGGCATGGACTCCCTGTGTGGATCTGGATCCGGTTTCGTTGTCCTCGTTGCACACTTTACAGCGGGTGTTTTGCACCAACAGCTTCTCTTGGGCCGGTGAGAGGGTGGCTGAGGACGCTGCGGCGGATGCCTGGGCCGGGTCTGCTCTCTCAGGCATAGGAGGTTGGTTTCGGGCCTTGGAGTCAAACAAACTGTTTTGGTTCCACCTGGAAATTGAGCAGGGCCAATTACCCGATCTTTGGCAGTGGCCGGAAAAGATGCAAGCAGCTATATGTGCTCTGGAGCTTTTAGCGCAGCTGGCTCTGGTTCTGGCTCGCGCAAAGGTTGATGGGACCGCTCAGTTGCATTGTGTGCGCTTGCGACAATATGGCGACAACATGCCAGTGGTCGCGGCTTGCAGTAAGGGCATGTCCACTGCGCCGCCGCTGTGCTTTGCGCTGATGGCCTTGGCTTTTGCGGCTTTGGAGCTACAAGTGGCCTTGGAGCTGTCCCATGTGGCAGGCGAGCGGAATGAAGAGGCTGACTTGCTAAGTCGTTTGAACCACCCAGAAGCGAAGCCATTGCCCTTGGCCATGAGGGCCAAGTTCCCTGAAGCAAATCGGGTGCGTATAACCTTGGCGGACGTGCTGGCCCCGTGGTACAAGTTCATGCAGCGACCAAGTTCGCTAATTGAATTCGACCGTCCTTAGTTGTCAGTTCCCGTAGTTGCGGTTGCGTAGGCTGCACAGTCACTCAATTTTTTGGGGGTTTAGTAGGCGCGCCTGTGCAGAAGGGTACCAACAGGCAAGTTTGGGGAGAAGGGAAGCCTGTTGGCAGAGTCCTGCATGGATGGCTTGTC